ACCCCCCCCCCCCCCCCCCTATTTTATTTTATTTGTCGTTTTTTGAAAAACTAAAAGACGTATTGATAGGCATGTGTTTATGTGCAGTTAGCAGTTATTTTTCCTTCAGATCAGAGACTAAACGTCGACGTCGTGGTCTCTGATTGGTCAAGAATTTGATACTGTTCAATTTCGCTCAAATATGTTATGTCCACTGACACTACAAACTCTACCTTGACTTCCCTTACTTACTAGAAAAGACGACCTTCCTAACCTAGCCTCTTATTGGTAAAAAAAAATAGATATTGTTCAATTTCAGTCGTGATTTGTGTGTTCTGCAAACTCTTCAACATCTTCGCAGTTTGCAGCGATGACCTGGCATCTTGTCGTTCAAAATTCAGATATAATCAAATTGCACTTAAACTTGGTTTGTATGGGTAGTCATGCCCTTAAATTCTGCCATGACTTCGGGTCTTGCATTCTACGACTTCCTTTTTCCCATTTGAAGAAATTAAGATTGTCCAATTTCGATCAAATTTGACAAGCAGTCGTACTGTACTTACTGATTTTGCATCATTCACGACATCAGGGGTAGTTTTGGAAACTATCTGATATTTGTTTTCCAGTTAGACCGGTATATCCACACGCCCCGCCAGAGAAATATTTTTCCGTTTACCCCGCTAGTATTAAACATTTGCACATCCTAAACAGGACTTTAGACATGTATGTATCGCATATACTAAGTAAATTGTAGTTCATTAATGACGAATCTGTTTCTTTTAGTTTTAGCATTGAAATACATAATTGCTATTTTGTAAACAAATATACCAAGGTAAAATCAGCCACTGATTTACTTAGCGCAATTTGTTTGTCGTTGTTTTCTTTACATATTTGGTTTTGAGGAAATAGAAGAGAAAACAATAATAAACTCCTACCTTGAGGAGAGGGAAGAAGATTCTCCAACCTTCTTGATAGTAACTCTCGGCTACAACAGCTTTGGATAAGTCAATATGGAATCTCAATCTTGGAGGGTTTATTTGTTCAGCTCTCAAGATAGATGTGGTTTTGTGATCAAACTAAGTGGGTAAAGTAAAACAAACCCTTACATAAATAAGCAATTGCCATGCATACACAATTTTTATCATTAATAAAATTAATTTTATTACGAAAAATTTAAAAAATCTTTTCTTTTCCTTTTCTATTTATTGTTAAATGAAGCCAAAAAACAAGGAGGTATGAAGACAAATACCTCGCTTCACACACACGAACTGAAGATACTTTTTCTCATAACTAAGATTCCTGATACATTTAGACACAATTGCTGGTGTATAATATGCCAACTTGCGGTAAAGATTAAATGTGTATTAACTAAAATCATTAGAAAATAGTAATATTTAAATTTAACATTTTGAAAAAGATGTCGTGCAAACATGAAAATCCTTTAAAACACCCCATAAAACGTTAAATATTGAGCCTCTGTATTCCCTCCGAATATAAAATAAGTGTTTGCGTAAAACATTCGGTATCAATATTACTAAATGAACATGGGCAAGTGAGTAAAGAGGTGACAATGGAATGCTTATCAATCAAAGACTTAAGTTTATTGATGGCACGAAAGTCAATTTAAGTTTTGCTTATTTATGATGACATGAACCTATCATACAATTTTTTGATATGGACATAACTTAGATTTGATAACACATTGAGTTAAGATCAATATTTCATTTTAGTAGCATTCAGTTCGGTCGCAAAAGTGACTGATATGTTACAATTCGCGAACTATTTGATTCAAAACATCAGCGTTTGTGCCTAATTATTGACAAAGGTTTCGTCGAGACATAGTACCATTTTTATAACTATTGAAAAAGTTAATTATATCAAAAATAACATATCCGCGATCCATGTTTATTAGGGTCTTTTAATATGATTTATATGCGAGTTGCCATTTGAGGTGACTACCATCCTTAGAAGGCTTGTTGAACCTTATGAACAGGAAAACTGTTGTCTACACATATGTTTCTATGAATTTAGATAAAAGTGGACGAATAGCTAATAGTCGATAATTATTAACACATTCGGGGTTTTTTTAAATAGAATTCACTTTGAACTGGTTAGGGAAACCATTCATTTTGACGAACATATTCAAAAACTTGGAAATTGATTCTGATACAAGCTCTGCTAATATCACAGGCGTCTGTAAAGATACAACTATGCATTAGAAATTACCAAGGCAAAGTATTGCAATGAAACTCAAAGTCCCCCATTAGGAATGTTATTTACCGAGCTGTATACCTATCTCAGGATATAGTCATAGTGACGGACTGAGCTGTATACCTATCTCAGGATATAGTCATAGTGACGGACTGAGCTGTATACCTATCTCAGGATATAGTCATAGTGACGGACTGAGCTGTATACCTATCTCAGGATATAGTCATAGTGACGGACTGAGCTGTATACCTATCTCAGGATATAGTCATAGTGACGGACTGAGCTGTATACCTATCTCAGGATATAGTCATAGTGACGGACTGAGCTGTATACCTATCTCAGGATATAGTCATAGTGACGGACTGAGCTGTATACCTATCTCAGGATATAGTCATAGTGACGGACTGAGCTGTATACCTATCTCAGGATATAGTCATAGTGACGGACTGAGCTGTATACCTATCTCAGGATATAGTCATAGTGACGGACTGAGCTGTATACCTATCTCAGGATATAGTCATAGTGACGGACTGGTAGCGACTAGTGGGTTTGGTTGTAACATGTTATGAGAACGAAAGAATGGAGACCATGCGCCAAAATAAATTCGAAAACATTCCAACACACAAATGTTACCATTTCGGTTTTTTGAACAATGTATTTTGTTTTCACACTTCCTGGCGCGCATGACAATACATGTGACACTGTCGTTTATACCACCGCTTGGGTAATCAAGCATAATTTTCAGCTTACATTTGTTTATATATTGGGATGTGTTCAAAATCTTATTCATCAACTTAAATGTAATCTTCTTACATTTCCTGAAAGTAGGTCAAGGTAATTAAATTCGGAAAATTTGTCGGGCTTGAACCAAAAGAAGCTACCGGCGAAATATTAAGATTTAATGCCTTTCAGTTCTTCACTAGAACTTTTGAAGTGTTTGACTTCTTTGTCGCTTGTGACCTTTAATGTAGGTCAAGGTCATATTAATTATCATACTTGTTTGGACTATATCCCAAGAAACTTCGAGTTAAATTTCAAGGTTCTATACCGTTCAGTTCTTCAGAAGAGGTCGTTTGAAGTTATTGACATATTTGACCTCTGTGACCTTGAAAGTAGGTCAAGGTCATTTTCGTTTTCAAATTTTGGCTCTTACTATGGAACTTTCAGCCAAAAATCATGACTCTATGCCTGTCCACTTTTCAGAAGTCGTTTTAAGGAAAAAATGACGGACGTTGGACGAACGGACGATAGACGCCGCACCATGGCATTAGCTCACCAGCCCTTCTGACAGGTGAGCTAAAGAATGACCAATTCGGAGGCCATTTTGCAAAAAGGGCATTTTCTACGCTTAACAAGGTGCCAAAATGTCACTCTTTTACACTATTCTTATCTCATAAATTGTCATTTTGCCGCCATTTCTAATTGTCGCAGGTTGATTATTGCTATACACCGTTATTATGGTCAATATAATGAAAATTTACATTATTGGTATTTTATTCGCTAGAAATACGAAGTAAGGTAGAGCCTATTTAAAAGTTTAATAAGTTGAGACAAAAACCAAATATAATAAGCACTTTATTACTACACTCTATGGCCATTTCGTCCATTTGAACTCATCAGGGCGGGGGAGGAAGAAGGAAAAAGCCTGGTCCATAAAAAGGAGCAAACGCAAAAGGAGTAAAGTGCCTAACACTTTTAAAGCAGTTTAAAAAATCATAATTTCTGACTAAAAAAGAATATGTTTTCGTTTAAACAGTATACCTTGTCGGAATTAATTCCGTCTACACGGTAATGGCCAACCTTTAGGACTCATAATCTACCAGCAGAGAGAGTCAACCATATTGTGATGTGAAATTTTCAATAGAAAAAATGAATTCGATTCAGAAAGTAAAAACAAAGTATTCCTTTACTGGATCATCTGGTCATTTCGTCCATAAGGACTTAACAGTACATAACTAAGGTCAACATAATTAAAATGTCATGTTAATAATGTTCCAAAACATGTGTAAATACATGTGTATATAGCGAAATCGGAAATTGCATGTAAACTATTTATTATGTCAAGGATTCAAAACATTTGGCAACAACAGACGATCTTTTGTAAGGAAGATATTATACATTAAATGAATACTTCAATTTAAGACATATTTAAAACAAAAGCATGTGACGACATTGAAGACTAGACTTTGGTCTGAGAAATCTTGTGTTTAATCAATATTAACATGAAACCTTT